CACACACACACACGGCTATCGGTCTCTACACACACACACACACACACGGCTATCGGTCTCTACACACACACACGGCTATCGGTCTCTACACACACACACGGCTATCGGTCTCTGCACACACACGGCTATCGGTCTCTACACACACACACACGGCTATCGGCCTGCGCGCTCAGTGAGGGCCACTCGGGCGGTTTCCGGCTCTCCCGGTACAGACAGACAGTAAACACGGTAAATGCTCTTACTTCATTCCGTGGGCGCCGCCATTATCCCAGAATCCCCCCGGTGACGTCAATAAACTTTATTAACCCAGACACGAACAACCTACTTCCTGTTCCGGCTGGGCCGGCCCAAAGGGAACTCTCACAGCGGCTTAGAACTACAAGTCCCGTCATGCTCTGCGGCTTTCATGGTTTATTAGAATAGCAAAGCATCATGGGAGGTGTGGTTCCGGTAAAGCGTCCAGGTTAGCAAAGCATCATGGGAGGTGTGGTTCCGGTAAAGCGCCCTGGTTAGCAAAGCATCATGGGAGGTGTGGTTCTGGTAAAGCTTCCTGGTTAGCAAAGCATCATGGGAGATGTGGTTCTGGTAAAGCTTCCTGGTTAGCAAAGCATCATGGGAGGTGTGGTTCCGGTAAAGCTTCCTGGTTAGCAAAGCATCATGGGAGGTGTGGTTCCGGTAAAGCGCCCTGGTTAGCAAAGCATCATGGGAGGTGTGGTTCCGGTAAAGCTTCCCGGTTAGCAAAGCATCATGGGAGGTGTGGTTCCGGTAAAGCTTCCCGGTTAGCAAAGCATCATGGGAGGTGTGGTTCCGGTAAAGCTTCCCGGTTAGCAAAGCATCATGGGAGGTGTGGTTCCGGTAAAGTGTCCCGGTTAGCAAAGCATCATGGGAGGTGTGGTTCGCAAAGCTACCCGTGGCGAGTGTAAAAGAATAAGGGGAGGTGGTTCGCAAGCTTCCCGGTTAGCAAAGCATCATGGGAGGTGTGGTTCCGGTAAAGCTTCCCGGTTAGCAAAGCATCATGGGAGGTGTGGTTCCGGTAAAGCTTCCCGGTTAGCAAAGCATCATGGGAGGTGTGGTTCCGGTAAAGTGTCCCGGTTAGCAAAGCATCATGGGAGGTGTGGTTCCGGTAAAGCGTCCCGGTTAGCAAAGCATCATGGGAGGTGTGGTTCCGGTAAAGCGTCCCGGTTAGCAAAGCATCATGGGAGGTGTGGTTCCGGTAAAGCGCCCTGGTTAGCAAAGCATCATGGGAGATGTGGTTCTGGTAAAGTATCCTGGCTGTTCCATATCTGAGTCCCTAGCTGAGCATGTTGGGAGTTGTAGACTTGTAGCTTGGGTTCCTTTTCCTCACCATTGGATAATTACTGAAAGTAAAGGGTACTAGGCAGGTTAATGGAAGTTGGCAAAGCTGGTGGGAATTTTATTTGGAAAAAAACAACAGAAAAAACCTTCAGCTCAAATATATACTAATTTAGTTGTTTGTTCCGAGCTCACCCCCGTAGTTTTGTAGTTCCCTTATAAGATCATGGTGGATTCATTAAACTGGTGATAGCACAGGCGTTCCTTAGGTTATTTTCAGAGGTTAGCCTGCTTGAACACAGTTACCCAGATTTACATTAACTTCCCTGAATGCAAGTCTGACTGGCTAGTGAGCCCTCTAGACGGGGAGACTAAATTTGTAAACTGGGAAATGTCTGCAAATTAAAGGACCACTATAGGCACCCAGACCACTTCAGCTTAATGAAGTGGTCTGGGTGCCAGGTCCAGCTAGGGTTAACCCTTTTTTTTTATAAACATAGCAGTTTCAGAGAAACTGCTATGTTTATATTAGGGTTAATCCAGCCTCCAGTGGCCGTCTCTTGACAGCCGCTAGACTCGCTTCCGCACTTCTCACTGTGATTTTCACAGTGAGAAGACACCAGCGTCCATAGGAAAGCGTTGTAAATGCTTTCCTATGAGACTGTCTGAATACGAGCGCAGCTCCTGCCGCGCATTCAGCCAAGGAGGAGGAGAGCTCCCCGCCCGGCGCTGGAGAAAGAGGTAAGTTTAACCCCTTCCTCTCCATCCAGCCCGGCGGGTGGGGGCACCCTCAGGGCACTATAGTGCCAGGAAAACGAGTATGTTTTCCTGGCACTATAGTGGTTCTTTAAGTCTGTTTTTTAAAAATGTTGCCCAATATAGCTAAGCCGTGACTCTGGGAGAGTTGGATAATTTTCTCAGAGCACTTATTTTAACCAAATTCTTTGTGTAGTGAATAACGCTGTGTCTGACTACAACAGGATGGAGACAGAAAATGCAAACTGGAAGGGGGTGAGAGGGTTGTTCTAAGTTTAAACTAATGGGTATTTTCACATCTATCATAACTCTACAAATTTCATATAAACATTGAACTTTTACTCCATTCGGCACTATAGAATGATTCCTGGTGCAGATATCTCATGTCATCTATAGACTGTAGTTTCAAGGTGGTGCTTTTTGTCCAATTTCTATAAATGTCTTTCACAAGCATTCCATAATGCCATCCAGTATTACTTTATACCATAGACAAACAATTATTCAAAGAAATATAGTGAAACATTGCTATTAACAACAGCTCAGATTTTGTAATTCATTTTATTGTAAACTTATGTTAACACTTACAGAATAGTATGCAGCACACGTTTAATTTTAATACAATTATTCCACTGCTGCAATATCTCAAGTGAAAAGTCACATCCTATACAGAGGATTTCGGTGATTTGGAAGGGCAGAATTTTAGGAGATAAAAATCTTTTCCTCGTTCTGACATTTTTTCCTATGCACAAAGATCCCCGGTTCCTGTTCTTCCCATAGATTGCACTATAAGTTCTTCTTTCCTATACAGATCCAGGTGGTAAAGCAATACACCAGTTATTTAATTGGTCCTCGCAGAGCATTACTCCTGTGATCAGCTCCGACTGCCTCTGAAACGCATGAAAATCCTTGCTCTCTGGAAGAGAATGTGAAGGGTGACATTAAACAAAGCAAATTTAACAACTAAAACATACTCTGACATTAGGACTCACAGAAGTATGTTCTTTAGCTCCCCTGTCACTTTCTCCACAACCGGCGGACCCTGGTAAGTGAGTGCTGTGTAAAGCTGTACCAGCGATGCCCCTGCTAGGATTTTCTCCAGAGCATCAAGGCCGCAACTTACACCTCCAACACCAATAATGGGGATCTTTCCTGAATGGGCAAGAGGAAAAGGATTAGAGAAAATGTGTTGATGAAGTGGGATATTGCCCCCTCGAGTCTCACCTGCTGTTAGAGTGTACATCTCTCGTATAGTCTCTGTAGCCATGTCACGTAGAGGGGCTCCACTCAATCCCCCGGCTTCACAGCACTGGGGGTCTTGCAGTGTAGACGGTCGACTGATTGTGGTGTTGGTAACTATCAAACCATCAATGCCAAGCTGCAGAGATAAATTAGAATGATAAATTTAAATTAATTTTTAAGAAATAATACACATTAGAAAGAGTATTCTCTAATAAACTCTCATCAGATATCCTGACCAGATTACTTCACAAATTCCCATATGCTCCACTTAAACTGTGGTGAGTCCTCTAAGAGTGAATTAGGCATTACCTCTGTCACTACACTAGCAATGTCTTCCTTATCTGCCTTCGTTAAGTCAGGAGCAATCTTTACAAGCAAAGCTGGTCTGTGATCACTTTGAAGAGCGTTACGAGCTTTCAAAACCTATAAAAGAGGAAGCAATTTATAGGAAGCGTAACGTTGTGTAACGTTAAACAAATACCTCTGCTATGTGCACTGCCATACCTTGGCCAACAGGTGGCGAAGTTGATCTCTGCCCTGCAATTCCCTTAGACCAGGGGTGTTGGGACTGGATACATTAATTACCAAATAGTCTGCAAAAGGTCCAAGCTCTAGAACTCCCTTTATGTAATCAGCAGCTGCATCCTCGGATGTCTTGTTCTTTCCCAGATTAACACCAAGTGGCATCCCACCTTGAATGAGAAAGAAGCATAATAATGAGAAGACTACACATGAGCAGAGGTTGACAGGTTGGACACAGGTGAATGGGACAGTATAGCAGTGTCAATGTGAGCTATAAAAATAGTCTGTATGAGACATATCATACCCGCTGTAAGTAAGCTCTGTTTTTCTCTCCTCGCCATCAGTCGCTGACGCACAACTTCTATCCCATGGCTGTTAAATCCATATCTGAAAATATTCAAAAAAGGCATTAAGCAACCATTTCTAAGACCACAAAGATTGTTTTTACTCTGTGTATTTACCATTACCGGTTGATAACTGCCCGGTCCTTAGGCAAGCGAAACACTCTGGGTGTGGGATTTCCTTCCTGGGGCTTTGGAGTAACACTTCCAATTTCCACAAATCCAAAGCCCATTTTAAAAAGTCCATCCACGGCTTCTGCATGCTTATCAAAGCCAGCAGCTATACCCACTGGGTTCCTGAAGCTGTGTCCGAGTACCTTCATCTCCTATGGACGGGGAGTAATGAGGAGGAAAGTAAATACAAAGAAGTGGATAGTGGGCAATACGTTAAAACAGACATTATTAAAAAGGAGTGCGCAAGTCATCAAAAAAAGTAATCCCAATATAAGGGTAAGGGACAATGAAACGTTCGTAAGTTTAAATAGCTGTTTCTTTTTGTAAGTTTCAACCCCTTAAGAAGAACAACCTGGTCCCTAAAAGTACTATGCTAGAATGGAATATTCTGTTTATTTTACAGCTATATAAACGTCTGCTTTTATTTAATAAGTGGGATGTTTGATTCTGATACAGGATCTTTAAGAATGGGCAGTTAGGATGTATTCATCCTGCACAGTAAACACAGAAATATAGCTTTAAATAAATTGGAAAAAAAACAAACTGGAAAACAATGTAAATATAGTGACTGTATGTAAATTGAAACCTCTGTTCGGAAACCTACAAGCTCTTTGGAATCATGACACTTAAGTCGTGGAACCAGTCCAAGGGATAGAAGTTTTATAGAGAGGTTGTGCGCCAGTTCAGGTGGTACCATTTGCTGCAATGTTGGCATTAGACAATTTGTGTAGAAGCGCTCATCCCCCTTTATGACCAGATAGGAGGTGAAGAGAAGTCCACCACCTCCAAGCACAATCAGGGCATCCTTCAACCTGCGCTGAAACCAGAGATAAAAAAAAAACACTTAAAACAGTACTAGCATAACAAAACCCCAAACTATACCAAGTTAAGGTTTACAGATAAACCCATAAATGTGGCACGGTATTTTGTATGAGTGGCTGTAATAGGGGAGAGCGTCGCTACCAAGGGCAGAATGCAAAACCAGAGGCATGATATATATACTGCCGCTATTCACGAAACTCTGAACTATAGCAAATGGCCAACGTTAGCGAGAAATGGAGATCTGGAAAAATTGTTCAGCTATGCTATAAATCACTGTATGGCGATTTTAGCCTGAATTTTTCTATTCTGATTAAATCCATTGCAATTAAGGGCAATAAGTGGTTCATTGTGAATGTATCACAGTGAGTCCACAGAGCAATAACAGGCAATTCATGGAGGACACCATGTAGAGATGGGTGGCCAAGATGCCCAACCCACTGTTATAGAACTACAAAACCTATGACACTTTGCCAGCTTTAAGGCTTGGCATTATAGGAGTTGCAGTTCTATAGCAGCTGGGGATATTCCTAGCTCTTGGTACAGGAAGAGCAAGGAAGTGACTGCAGCCCCCTGTGATACACACATTGAATCCTAACGTGATGGGGAAGGAGTTTTAGCTGCAACATGCTAGGAAACTGCATCTATAAAATGCATTACCTTCACGTGGCCTGCGATCATCTTTACTTCCGGGAACCATATTGCGAATGGCAACATGTGTTTTGACAGGAAGTAGAATCGTCGCCATTTTTAAAGTGGGCAAATGAAGCTAATCCTGTGAGCTAACTGCATTCAAGGTTTTTTCATGAAGTAAAGCGTGCTTTATGCTTTGCCACACGTATTAATGCAATGCTATTACTTTCTAACAGTATAAATTGCCCAATATACTGCATGTCCAAATTAATTAGATTTTTGAACTTTAGTAATCTTTTAATCTTAGCAAATTCTTAACACAGGACAGTAACAGAACCAATAGATCTCCAAATAGGAGGGTGTTAGAATGTTCTTACTGAACACAGGAGGGTGCAGGAGTCTTTCAACCAAATTAGGAGGGTACCAGAACCTTTCAGCCAATATAGGAGGGTACCAGAACCTTTCAGCCAATATAGGAGGGTACAGAAACCTTTCAGCCAATATAGGAGGGTACCAGAACCTTTCAGCCAATATAGGAGGGTACAGGAACCTTTCAACCAATATAGGAGGGTACCGGAACCTTTCAGCCAATATAGGAGGGTACCGGAACCTTTCAGCCAATATAGGAGGGTACAGGAACCTTTCAGCCAATATAGGAGGGTACAGGAACCTTTCAGCCAATATAGGAGGGTACCGGAACCTTTCAACCAATATAGGAGGGTACCGGAACCTTTCAGCCAATATAGGAGGGTACCGGAACCTTTCAGCCAATATTGGAGGGTACCGAAACCTTTCAGCCAATATTGGAGGGTACAGGAACCTTTCAGCCAATATAGGAGGGTACCAGAACCTTTCAGCCAATATAGGAGGGTACAGGAACCTTTCAGCCAATATAGGAGGGTACCGGAACCTTTCAACCAATATAGGAGGGTACCGGAACCTTTCAGCCAATATAGGAGGGTACCGGAACCTTTCAGCCAATATTGGAGGGTACCGAAACCTTTCAGCCAATATAGGAGGGTACAGGAACCTTTCAGCCAATATAGGAGGGTACAGGAACCTTTCAGCCAATATAGGAGGGTACAGGAACCTTTCAGCCAATATAGGAGGGTACCAGAACCTTTCAACCAATATAGGAGGGTACAGGAACCTTTCAACCAATATAGGAGGGTACCGGAACCTTTCAGCCAATATTGGAGGGTACCGAAACCTTTCAGCCAATATAGGAGGGTACCGGAACCTTTCACCCAATATAGGAGGGTACCGGAACCTTTCAGCCAATATTGGAGGGTACAGGAACCATTCAGCCAATATAGGAGGGTACAGAAACCCTTCAGCCAATATAGGAGGGTACCGGAATCTTTCAGCCAATATAGGAGGGTACAGGAACCTTTCAGCCAATATTGGAGGGTACCGGAACCTTTCAGCCAATATTGGAGGGTACCGGAACCTTTCAGCCAATATTGGAGGGTACCGGAACCTTTCAACCAATATAGGAGGGTACCGGAACCTTTCAGCCAATATTGGAGGGTACCGAAACCTTTCAGCCAATATAGGAGGGTACCGGAACCTTTCACCCAATATAGGAGGGTACCGGAACCTTTCAGCCAATATTGGAGGGTACAGGAACCATTCAGCCAATATAGGAGGGTACAGAAACCCTTCAGCCAATATAGGAGGGTACAGGAACCATTCAGCCAATATAGGAGGGTACAGAAACCCTTCAGCCAATATAGGAGGGTACCGGAACCTTTCAGCCAATATAGGAGGGTACCAAAACCTTTCAGCCAATATAGGAGGGTACCGGAACCTTTCAGCCAATATTGGAGGGTACAGGAACCATTCAGCCAATATAGGAGGGTACAGAAACCCTTCAGCCAATATAGGAGGGTACCGGAACCTTTCAGCCAATATAGGAGGGTACAGGAACCTTTCAGCCAATATAGGAGGGTACCGGAACCTTTCAGCCAATATTGGAGGGTACCGGAACCTTTCAGCCAATATTGGAACCGGAACCTTTCAGCCAATATAGGAGGGTACAGGAACCCTTCAGCCAATATAGGAGGGTACAGAAACCCTTCAGCCAATATAGGAGGGTACCGGAACCTTTCAGCCAATATAGGAGGGTACAGGAACCTTTCAGCCAATATAGGAGGGTACAGGAACCTTTCAGCCAATATAGGAGGGTAGCCGAAACCTTTCAAACAATATAGGAGGGTACAGAAACCCTTCAGCCAATATAGGAGGGTACAGAAACCCTTCAGCCAATATAGGAGGGTACAGGAACCATTCAGCCAATATAGGAGGGTACAGAAACCCTTCAGCCAATATAGGAGGGTACCGGAACCTTTCAGCCAATATAGGAGGGTACCGAAACCTTTCAGCCAATATAGGAGGGTACCGGAACCATTCAGCCAATATTGGAGGGTACCGGAACCTTTCAGCCAATATTGGAGGGTACAGGAACCGTTCAGCCAATATAGGAGGGTACAGAAACCCTTCAGCCAATATAGGAGGGTACCGGAACCTTTCAGCCAATATAGGAGGGTACAGGAACCTTTCAGCCAATATAGGAGGGTACCAGAACCTTTCAGCCAATATAGGAGGTAGCGAAACGCTCAAGCAATATAGGAGGTACAGAAACCCTTCAGCCAATATAGGAAGTACAGAAACCTTTTCAAACAATATAGGAGGGTACCGGAACCTTTCAGCCAATATAGGAGGGTACCGGAACCTTTCAGCCAATATTGGAGGGTACCGGAACCTTTCAGCCAATATTGGAGGGTACAGGAACCGTTCAGCCAATATAGGAGGGTACAGAAACCCTTCAGCCAATATAGGAGGGTACCGGAACCTTTCAGCCAATATAGGAGGGTACAGGAACCTTTCAGCCAATATAGGAGGGTACCAGAACCTTTCAACCAATATAGGAGGGTACAGGAACCTTTCAGCCAATATAGGAGGGTACAGGAACCTTTCAGCCAATATAGGAGGGTAGCCGAAACCTTTCAGCCAATATAGGAGGGTACCGGAACCTTTCAGCCAATATAGGAGGGTACCGGAACCTTTCAAACAATATAGGAGGGTACAGGAACCTTTCAGCCAATATAGGAGGGTACAGAAACCCTTCAGCCAATATAGGAGGGTACAGAAACCTTTCAGCCAATATAGGAGGGTACAGGAACCTTTCAGCCAATATAGGATGGTACCGGAACCTTTCAGCCAATATTGGAGGGTACAGGAACCGTTCAGCCAATATAGGAGGGTACAGAAACCCTTCAGCCAATATAGGAGGGTACAGAAACCTTTCAAACAATATAGGAGGGTACAGGAACCTTTCAGCCAATATAGGAGGGTAGCCGAAACCTTTCAGCCAATATAGGATGGTACCGGAACCTTTCAGCCAATATTGGAGGGTACAGGAACCGTTCAGCCAATATAGGAGGGTACAGAAACCCTTCAGCCAATATAGGAGGGTACCGGAACCTTTCAGCCAATATAGGAGGGTACAGGAACATTTCAACCAATATAGGAGGGTACAGGAACCTTTCAGCCAATATAGGAGGGTACAGAAACCTTTCAGCCAATATAGGAGGGTACCAGAACCTTTCAGCCAATATAGGAGGGTACCAGAACCTTTCAGCCAATATAGGAGGGTACCGGAACCTTTCAGCCAATATAGGAGGGTACAGGAACCTTTCAGCCAATATAGGAGGGTACAGAAACCTTTCAGCCAATATAGGAGGGTACCAGAGCCTTTTAACCAATTTAGGAGGGTACCAGAACCTTTCAACCAATATAGGAGGGTACAGGAACCTTTCAGCCAATATAGGAGGGTACCAGAACCTTTCAACCAATATAGGAGGGTACAGGAACCTTTCAGCCAATATAGGAGGGTACCGGAACCTTTCAAACAATATAGGAGGGTACAGGAACCTTTCAGCCAATATAGGAGGGTACCCGAAACCTTTCAGCCAATATAGGAGGGTACCGGAACCTTTCAGCCAATATTGGAGGGTACAGGAACCGTTCAGCCAATATAGGAGGGTACAGAAACCCTTCAGCCAATATAGGAAGGTACCGGAACCTTTCAGCCAATATAGGAGGGTACAGGAACCTTTCAGCCAATATAGGAGGGTACCAGAACCTTTCAGCCAATATAGGAGGGTACCTGAACCTTACAAACAATATAGGATTGTACCAGAACCTTTCAGCCAATATAGGAGGGTACTGGAGCCTTTCAACCAATATAGGAGGGTACCAGAACCTTTCAACCAATATAGGAGGGTACAGGAACCTTTCAACCACTATATGAGGGTTTTGGACCCTTTTGACATAACAAAGGGAAAGTACTGGAACCTTTCAACCATATTATAGGAAAGTATTAGATCCTTTCGAGTTCTCCTTGAAGATTATCTAAACTTTCTTAATACAGGATAGTAACTGATACCTTTCATCATTTTCCTGGCACTATAGGGTCTCCAGGTCCCCTCACCCTCATCCCCCGTCCCCCCGGGCTTTAGGGGGTGGAAGGGGTTAAATTTACCTATTTTTCCAGCGCTGGGCGGGGGACTCTCCTTCTCATCGTCATCGTCTGAATGCGCATGCGGTGCACGAGCCGCGCACGCATTCAGCCAGTCCATAGGAAAGCATTCTCAGACCACTTCATTGAGCTGAAGTGGTCTGGATGCCTATAGTGGTCCTTTAATATAGGAGAATACTAAATCCTTTCATTCTTAAAACAGAAGAATATCAATAACTTCCATCCTTGATACAGGATAGTACCCGTACCTTTCATCCTTGATACAACACAGTATCCGTACCTTTCATCCTTGATACAGGATAGTACCCGTACCTTTCATCCTTAATACAGACTAGTACCCGTACCTTTTATCCTTGATACAGTGCAGTGCCCGTACCTTTTATCCTTGATACAGCGTAGTGCCCGTACCTTTCATCCTTGATACAGAATAGTACCCGTACCTTTCATCCTTGATACAGCACAGTACCCATACCTTTTATCCTTGATACGGGATAGTACCCATACC